AAATACACAAAATAATGTTCTTTTTAGCAGCATCATATGACCCCTTTAAATCACTTTATTTGTATGGGGGTCAAATGCTGGAGTTCAGTATCTCACCCTCAGATACATTATCCCAGTAAGGGGACAGAAAGTGGACTTCTCCTTTCTGGATGAGACGGAATAGCTCCTCTTGATTACGATCTGGACTGCGGAATGGAGGAAACCCACCCAGCAGCACAAACAGTATGACACCCATTGCCCAAACATCTACTCCAACACCGTAACCTGTTCATACATAGGCATGTACATATGCATAGCTGAACATTTGAAATATCATGTCAGATGTTAGTGTGTCAGATCATGTTACTAATCATTTTAAACCTCAAAGTACTTGTTTGAGGATTAGGACAGAGCTGTAGCTCAGGTTTTCTGTGTCCAACCAGTCCCAGCTATTCTAAATAAGTACAGATCCTACCTGTCTCAGCAAGTATCTCTGGAGCAACATATGTAGGTGTGCCACAGACTGTGAACACTGGCTCTGTTACCACCATGGCTAATCCAAAATCAGCCAACTTCAGATTCAAACTTCCATTGCCATGCCGCTGTACCTAAAATGTAGTTAAAATTATTGGTAGTTAAACATGAAATAATGTTTGAGCAGTGTTATAGTGTTAAGCAATGTTAAAACTAAAACGATTAAAAATCATTTTCAGTAACTGAAATAAAGCTGAAATAAAATCAAATCTAAATAACTGGAGAAAAATGTAATCTTAAAAACTAAAATGAGAAATGTTGCAATTAACTGAAAGTTGATTTTATGATGAAGTACTAAAATTACAAAAAAAGTTACTAAAATAATTTAAATAAAAATTAAATAAATCCATATGTGCACTGTAAAATTATTTTTCAAAATTAAAAAAATTCAAGATTATTGGAGTGTTTTACAAACAAAAAACTATTTCAGTCTTTCTATTTCAAAATTTCAAACTGTAAAATCATAGCAATTTCTGACTGAAAATTGTTTCAAAGAAAATCCTACACCTACACCAATTTTTTTTAATAAATAAATTATTACAATGGACAAACACATAACAAAATTACTCAAATTAAAAAACCAAAACAGAAAATATAAAAAAAAGCTAATTCAAAATATTAAATATTATAATAGTATATAAATAACACTAAAATAACGCTGATTTTATAGCCTTGTGGGCAGTGCGCTGACATATAGTGCCCTTGCGCTCCGGGCGTCCCGAGTTCGAGTCCCAGCTCGTGGACCTTTCCCGATCCTGCCCCCCTCTCTCTCTCCTACTTGCTTCCTGTCACTGCTATATTGTCCTATCAAAATAAAAATGCCAAAAAAAAAAAATAACACTGATCTTGAGTAACTCTTATCTCTTACCAGTAGGTTTTCAGGTTTGATGTCTCGGTGTGCGATGCTCTTGCTGTGGATGTATTCCAGAGCCTGACTGATGTCTCTGATCATGCATGCAGCACTTGGGTCAGTAAACCTGCCGCTCTGAGTGATAGCATCAAACAAGTCTCCACCAGTCACCAGCTCCATCAGCAGGTAAACATGGGTGTCCGTGTGATGAGAACGAAACAGCTGTATGAGGCGAGGATGTTCCAGACTACACAGCAGAGCGATCTCATTCTGAATCATGTTACCACGTCCCTGCAGCTTTGCGTTGTCCACAATCTTCATAGCGAATGTTTCAGCCAGGCCTCTCACCCTGCACTCCCTGACCACCGCAAAGTTCCCATCTCCTACCACCCGGCCCATGTCATAGCAGCGCTCAATGTCCTCCAGCGACACTTCGGCACCATCAGGTAATATGCTACTCTGTAAGTCTTTCTGTTCAACTGTTTCCTGCTTATTAATGTCCTGCTCAGTAATTGTCACCAAATTATCTTTATCCCAGTTTTGAGGAACAGTTGGGCTTGATTTTGTATTGGCAACATGCTCTTCTGCTTTCAATGATCTTTGTTGTGTTTTTTCCATGTTATTCTGAGATGAAGTATTTTTATTACTGTGGTTATTTGGCCTGTCCGATTGAGAACATCGACTGCTACTGATTGGAGGTATAGGAGGGCCGCATCCTCGACAACTCCGGCAGTAAACAGCTTCTCTCTTTCCTTCTTCCTTCTTTATCTTCTTCTCATCTTCTTTCTGCAGGTCACCTCTCCTCCTCCATAGTTCTCTCTGCCTTTCTCTCTTCACCTTTTCTTTTTGCCTTCCAACAGGCTGTAAGTTGTTGACAACTGGTTGGTTTACCTGTTGATCATGTACTGTAGGTAAGGAAATCTCGGCTCCGGCGTCGTCATCATGGAAACCACTATCTGCCTTAGTGGCCTTGGGTCTCAGGATACGCTCCCATACCCTCAGCAGATGTTCGCAATGGCCAGGGTTTTCCGGATATAACTCATCTAGTGCTGCATGTACCTCATCAAGAGACGGTCGGCTGTTCCCAAAGGCCAGGAACGCATGGTCAAAGCGGAAGAAGTCGGCTAGGCTGTGGATTTCTTTCCCAGCAGGGCTAAAGAGTCGTCGTATTCGAGCGTTGTTCCAGCAGGGGAAGCCAAGCGCCTCGGACACATCTGCCATTAGCTGCTCAAAAGTCTGCACAGCACGGCGGTTTAACAGCAACGAGATCTTCCGCACGCTCTCCTGTCCGCACGGCCGCACCACGGTCATGATTCGTGGGCGCACTGGGCTTGATTCTGCGTGTCTGGCGTGGTAGCCGCTCACCCTGGGAACTCCTGCTTCCTCCCAGTGACACACAGGGCTTTCTGAAGGCCCAAAGTCTGTGGGAGGCCTTCGGGGTCTTGATCTGTGCAGGTAAGATGGAAGAGGTTGCCGAGAGGCAGCATTTGGGCACTTTGGCAGTTTAATCCTTTGATCTGGAACACATAAACATGTAAACTGAGACGATACAATTTGTTATGTTTTTTGTTAGAAGAGGAACATGTCCAAAGATATGCTTTGTTCATCAAGAGTGCAGCACACAAAACTGCAGATTTTGGAGGGGGAAAAAAATCTGATTTTGGAAAGAAAATATGCTTATACAGGCGAATTAAAGAGGAAGTGTGCAACATTAATAATTAAGAGCAGGTGTGTATTGAGGAGCAATGCCGAGACATGCAGATTCTCAAATTGCACCTCATGCTCCAGGGGTAACGGAAAAGGATCAAATCTGATCGTGCCAGATCACTTTACTCTGGACGCAGCTTGTTTTTCTTTCTTTCTTTCTTTCTTTCTTTCTTTGTACTCCCTAAACGTATACGTCTTTAAGTGGAAGGATGCAGGTCAGGAGCCTTTAAGAAATTGAACACCAAAAGTCAAAGATGCAGTTTCACTTTTAAGTCAGTACTTAGAAAGTTTTTTGAAAGAACTGTTGTTAGAACTGTGTATATTAATTAGTAAACCCAATTTATGTTCTTGTTACTTTGCACCAAGCCCTATTGAAAGGAGTTTTTAATTTAATTTTGATTTGTGAAAATGTCTTTTTATGTTTTGAAAAAAGACATTTATTAATGATGACGTATTAAAATTATTAAATATTATTATTGTTTATTTTGTTTATTCATTGTCAGGATAAATTTAATGGCTCAGAATAATAGCGAAATAACCTAGGATAATCGTTACGGGGAAAAGTCTGGATATTCTTCAAATGTAGACTAGTTAATTGTCCTAGTTAAACTTTTACAGCACTGCCCCATTTCATTTAACGTATTTATTTATTAATCATTTCAACTCACCCGTCAGTCCCCATCTGGGTCTCGGTGGCTCTCGCCCCGGTCGCTGGTTCCACGCCGGTGTCATTCTGTTTCACTGCTCACAGTATCTTCAGTATTTGTGCAGATATAAACCCATGAGTCTGATGCAGTATCCATACTGTCCCAGATATGTCCGGCGGGTTTACAAAATTTTTAAAAATTCTGTAGCCATGATTAAATCAACGCGCACCTCTTAAGAAACTTGTCAATGTGTCTTAGGATGAAAGTAAAAAAAAAAAAAACAATAAAAAAAAAACCGGCGCTGAATTTAAAGCTTTGAACCGGACAATGCGCACCCAGCCAATACTCAGTCAGCGTCTATCAGACATGAGGTAACATGGGGATATCGCGAAACCGCATCTTTTGGAAAAGCTACGAGCGCGTTACCGGATACTCAGCATCCTGCTGCATGAGCGTCTCCCCGGTAACCCAAAGAGAACTGAAACACACACACACACGCACAAGGTTTGTTTGAATATATTAGAAGGGTTTTCGTCATGTTTCGCTGTATCAGTGAGGACCCAAACAAAATATAGCAAAAACCTATAGCCTACACGCCCATGGATTATATATAGGCTATATATATATATATACATGAAGAGTTTCACTTTAATGACAATGAATAGTTCTTTTCATTGCCATTAAAGTGAAATAACTGCATTCACTGAGGAAATATGCTCGTGCTCAAGAAAATTTCAGACGGCACTTAAAGGCTTTTGCATCTGAACTCTTCATATATATATACATTAAAATAAAAGCATTTTGTCTTCTAAAATTAAATGTATTATTCTTTAATTAATATTAGCCTATTGCATAGCATGTAGTCTAAATTTAGTTATAATACATATTTTATTGACATTTCTGGCACATTTTAAGTGATGTGAATATGATGTTGATCATAACTTAACATCTGTTTGTGAATATTTTAGTGATTGCCTTTACTAGTGAAAGATTTAATGAAATAAATTAATTATATTGAATTCAATAAATCAGCCAATCAGCTGTTTCCATCCTTTTTTCTGCACACATTCTCTGCCTAATATACATTCCACCCTACCCCCTTTATTCGTTGCCTTCCTTATTTTGGTTTAGGCAGGCCTATAATTATTGTAAACTTCTCAAGACTTTCCACTTTGTGTTTGCAGGTCTCTCAGTATGGTTGTATTGTCATGGTTACTGTTAACACAGCAGAGCTGCTTTGTGTGTATGTTTCCGCTTGGATGGCTGTGCTGGCCCTTGCTGTGTGTGGACAGCTGTACATGGGCATCTGGGTTGAATGCACATGTCCAGAGAGGGCACTGTGTGTTAGAGGGTAGCGGGGGAAATCAGTTTAGTGGAGTCCCGGGTCATGCTCCTTCATAAGGATCATTTATTTGTTTGTTTGCTTATATGTTTATTTTTTTTAAATGGTCTTTTGTGTTATCATTGCACACATGCAAAGTTGGTTGATAACAACTGCAATAAATTAATAGCCTAGTTAACAATTATTTGTTTACATGGGATATATAATGTATTTTCTATTATTTCTAGGCACTTATATAGGCTATAGTTTGACAGAATGTTCTAATTCAACATGCCTTGGGAAGTCAATCTAACTTAACATCTCTTGGAATATGTGAAGGCCAGATTTTTCCATCACTCATCATTAGAACCCATTTTACACATGGCTCTCGATTCTGACTTGTGCTTGCTCTTATGAAAATGTACCATAGTTCTTAACAGCATTTGTTATAATAAGGCTAGCCTATTAATCATTGCAGGCCAATAATGACTTTAAATTTTTTTATTTTTATAATCTATATAGCATTGGTTATGAAAAAACAACAGCCTGCACATTTAGAAACAACAGCTACAACATGCCACAGTTGTAATATAAATCTATAGGGGAAAATCTTTTCCCTTGACAGATTATCTAGTATAAATTCTACAAGAAGTTCAACAAAATGTATCACAATAAATAAGCCTACAATAAAACGTGATAAATTTTTCTGGTAAAGGTGGTCATGAGTAGTTTAAAGATGGTCATGGGGGGATGGGTGGTTGTACTTGCTACTTTTGGTTATTGTACATGGGCACCCCCCCGGCAAACTACGTCCCTGGACATTCACTTAGGTATGAAAGCCAGTTTCTGCCACTGAATACAAAATAAAAAAATGTAATTGCGACTTTTTCTCTCACAATTCTGACTTTTTTTTCTCGCAATTGCCAGTTTACATCTCGCAATTCTGACTTTTTCCTCAGAATTCCTAGATATAAAGTCCAGTTCTGAGGGGGAAAAAGACCGATATGTTCTCAGAATTGCTAGTTTATATCTCACAATTCTGAGAACAAACAAACAAACTCAGAATTACCTTCGCAATTACCTTTAAAAAAAAAAAAACTCAGTGGCGGAAATGGCTTCCATTCTTTAGGCATACTTGTAAGAATTTAATTTGTATTTTAATATGAGAAGAATAATGAAACATTTAGCAGAACGTCATGTAAACAGATACAAAAGTCGAGGTCGCCTGCAGCGGTAACCATAGCAACAGCGATTTCCGTTCAGTATCGGACAGTAGGCTACTACAAAACGTGAGTACTATAATTTTGTATCACGTTATTATAGATTTACACTGCACATATTTATAATAAAACCCTGTTCTGTTTAAAAAGATAGTAGATGGTTAGCTAATTGTGCTAAGTGCACCACACGACATTTACGATGCGCGAGACGAACCTTGATGGATCTTATAAAACGTGGACCACTAAAGAGTCATTGACTGATTCGCGCATTATTAACATAATATTGCATTTAGCTTTATGCTAATTTTTATTATTTACTAAAATTAGTTATTAACAATTAGTTGACCTCCATGTTGAATTCGCGACTCAATGATTTTAAATGCTGCTGACCAAAATCTAACAGACATGCCAACAAGATATGTAGGTATTTAGTAAAAGAGCTTGGATTTGTGACCTGTTTTGTGACTTGGACTATGTTTACCTTGTTTTCATGATCTGTGTTTTGTGTGTTTTAAAAGAAGGTTGACATATCACCATTCTAAAACTGCTCTCTCTCTCTCTCTCTCTCTTCCCCTGTTTCTCTCCACCACCTGTTTATGTCAAATGTCAAAACACATGAACTCTGCATACCGTGTTTAGTCACACATTTGTGTTGGGTTAGACATAGTGACAGTCCACTCAGTCTATGAGTGTGTGTTCAAATACCAAGTGTATAAAGGTGAAAACCTGCATATTATAAATAATTCCAGAAGTGGCGTTATACAACACATAAGGTTATATCATCAGTCCTTTTGAGAGAACTGGCCTATATTTTACATCATTTGGTTTACATGGATAATACAAGCTTCCAAAGTCAACAGCAAAAACTTGTGAGAGCAGGAATAGAGTACTAGTAACTGTCAGTGAAGTGCAAAATGTCTTTGATTTGCCACTTCAGTCTAATATTTATTTACATAACAACCACAAACACTACAAAACTCAGAAACCATCTGAATGCTGTCAATACTGACACACCTGCAATACCTGCAATTTATGAGAGATCTTGCATTTATAATACAATTCAGCAGTAATTGATCAACGTCAGTTGATAATAATCTGCAGATTAGATATATGGTATGGTATAATAGCTGAAAAGATAATCAAGTATAAATATAAATATCTGTGAGAAGTGACAAAGAGAAGGGTGTGTGTCTGTGCGTATTTGTACATGCTCAAACAGGTGCATATTTCAAAGGATGTGTGAATGTTTCACATCATGTTCCCACAGGGGAATGATGAGTACAAACAGGGAAATCCTGGAACGTTTCCTCCAAATAAAACAAGGAAATGAACTGGGTTTTATAGATTGTAGAGGTAGTTGCTAGTGACATATAGTTTGTCTAGTCACTTACAGTGTTAATTTAGATTTTTTTATACACTATTATAGTATTCATTAATATTTAGAATTATCTTTTATTTTTATATTTGCAGTTTTCATTTAAATTTATGCTTTTAGTAATTTTGTTATGTGCTTTTGTATATTTTTTTTTTAATATGTCAATGTAGCTTTATTTTTTTCAGTTTTAATTTTAGTCATTGTAGTAGTTCAGCTGCAGTGTATTTATTTTAGTTGCATGATTTCTAATTTTCTTTTATGTTTTTGGAAGTTTAAGTTTTTCATCTAATATATATATTTTTTTACTTTATTTCATTGATAACAATTTGTAATACTTTTAGTAAAAAGCTGTTATTGATCAAAAGAACCTACACCAGTTGTCTAATGTTCATGAACTATAAAACAGCTGCTTTCTGATAACAATCTTCAACTTAACGTTACATACAAACTATAAAAAATTCAAGAGTTCAGCATTAACCCCAGACCTTATTGTGTGCAATCTTGGTATTCAGATCCTTCCCGCAGTTGTTTGTGGAAAAACTGTTCCACACATAGCCTACTTGCTGAAACAATCGTCTGTTTCAGACTGTGCGGCCTCACTTACAAACACTTGTAAATTCAGCCTTGCTTCTCAAAGGATGGGCTGGGGAAGAGGTTTAGTGTTACTGGTGCAATGTTTTGGTGATTATTGTACAAACAGCAGCTGATACAGCTAGATCTTCACTGCCTCTTACTGAGCTGAACAGCCAAGAGTGTAGAGGGTGGGAAGAAAGAGTCCTCCGACATAAGGCCTTGTCCTCAGTGACTTGTAAAAGAAAGAGACACAAAGCGAGAGAGAAAAGAATATGGCCTGACCCTGGCCCCATATCTATCATTCCTTCCCCCCTCCACACTGCGCTCTCACTCTCTCCCTTTCTTGCTCTCTAAGCCACACTTAAAATGAATCAATGCATTAAATAACGCTTAGAATGTTCCTCAATTGTAAGTCACTTTTGATAAAAAGCATCTGCTAAATGACTAAATGTTAAGAACAAAATATCAAACAAAATGACTTTTTTTTAACAACTGTAGCACATATTTCAAAAAAAAAAAAAAAAAGAAGACTTTTAAGTTTTTCAGTGACAAAATTTACTTGTTGATCAAAATGGAAGGGGAACTGACGTTATACATTCACTTAAAATCAACTTCAGACCATTTGATAAAAAGTAATTGTAGATACTGACTCAGAAAAGTAAAGTTAGATATTTTATTTTCTATACATTTTTTAAAGTAAACATTAGACTGTAAAAACGATTATTGGAGTACATTTTACATAAAAAATGTACTTCATTAGTATTCACATTTAATGCAGTCTGTGACTTGCAATTTCTTTATAATTGTTTGTTTATGAAATTTAATAGCAATTTCTGAGTGAAAACACAATTTTTTCTGTGTATGGGTCGATGGTGGATATTTAGTGCATGCTCATTTGCCCCATTCTTACATTTAGATTATCTTTGCTTTCACTTAAAGTAATTTTTTAAAACATTAACAATTGAACAATGCTATTAATTATCATCTTTAGCAAATCTCAAAATGAACATCGTTTTTAAATTTGTATATTATAATGCTGTGATGTTTAAATGTACTTGTAGTATTTAAAAATATTTTAGTTTTTTATTTTTAATTTAATGAGACAAATAGTATAGAATTTTAATATCAGCCATTTATTGTTTTTTAACATAATTTTTGGCTTATCTGTATCAGCCATAATTTTAATATAAGTCCATCCCAAATCAAGTCTTTCTTGAGCGTCCAAATTGGGAGCCAATTTTGGACCAATACATTTACATTTATTCATTTAGCAGACATTTTTAAAGTCAAATTCATATGGAAACTCGAAAGAAAGTGAAATGTTTTCGCACGTCGCATCGATTTTGCAGTCCCTTGACTTCCTTATCTTTCATTATTCTATCTTTCATAATTGATTCTCCTACAATTCCCAACTCCCCATCTCTCCGACCCCCCTGCCGCCCGTCTGTCATCTCTACTCTCCTCTCCAGGCATTGCTCCTCCCTCATCCACCCCCCAGGCTTGTAGTGATGACATCACAAACAGCAGTTATAAATCAGCCAGTAAGATTGCAGGAGCTCAGTGGTGCTGTCTTACCCTCCTCTCTCACTCTCTCTTTCTTTTTCACTCTCATTCGTTGCTCTTGTTCTCTCACTCAGCTCTAAACATGGCAGACGTTTTTGTTGGCACATGGAACTTAAAGGAGAGCAAAAATTTCGATGACTACATGAAAGCCCTCGGTGAGTAAGGAGGGGGTGAATGGTGTAGATGTATGCAGTGTGTATTGCTTTACTGCTAAACATAGGGTGTGCCTTTTGATGCAAGTAAGCACATGTAATTTGGGTGTGTGTTTCTGATAGCTTCAGAGTGGGAAATGTGATCTGAGGAGCATTTATTGTGCAGGTGCATCTGTGCTACTATGTGTGCATGGGTGTGTTTAAGATGGAGTGCATGTGGTGCAAGGAGGGTCTCCTTCGATGAACCTCACACACGTGCTTTCTCACACACAACCAGATTCATGCTGTAGTGTAGAGTGACTGTAGAGCTACTGCGGTTCTCTTGTATAAAATACAATGAGCCCTTTATTTTGCCAACTTGTTTTTGAGAAAAAAAAGGTACATACTGCCTAAAGAACTTGAACTATATCGTGACCTTGATGTTTTTTACACAATCATATGGAAATGTGTCTTAGATGCTTGCCAGCCATTTTTTGGCCAGTTGTGTAGTATTTGTGATTTTGAAGTAGTGTTGAGTGACCTGTAGCTTAAGAGTGGAAGATGAGGGGGGGAAAAAATCAATCAGAGTGCAACTCTATGGAGATAGAGGGAAGGAGGGAGGCAAGTGTGGGTGAGACAAAGTGGGTGTTTTTTTTCTTTCGACCAACCGCTTTCAAATTCACTGCTCTTCAGCGAACTGCAATGAGCCCTGATTTTCTGCTCTTTATCTGTGGTCAAAGAAGAGTCTGCCCCGTCTGCATTTGCACACATACTCCCTCACAGTATTTGCTGAACAAATCAATAGTAATTGCTGCATTCATCCAAAACTGCACGTGTGCTGATTTGACCATTTTGACCGTTCCAGAGTTTGGTTATTTGCAGACATTTGTTCATTCGTGACTAACCTCTGAATATATATGCAATCTTTAATAATTACTATTCTGCCCTTAAGCTATGCAGATGCTCGTTCTTCTTTTGCATTTTCTCTGATAAATGGCGGTCCCTTTAGAATTATTTTTCATTTTAAAATTATTAGGAAATATATTTCATATTTAAACTTTACTTAGTAAAATTCTTTAGATTTTTTTAAAATTATTATTATTTAAAATATTTTATATTTAGGGGCTTTATTTAATTAAACCCTTAGAAATGTTTCAAATTTGTACAATTAAAATTAATTAAATAATTAATTATACTTAATATTAATATTTAACTTCTTTACAGTACAGACCAGTCTTTAAAATGATCATTGGCTCTTGATGCTGTCCATGTGAATTTCTCTGCATGTGGATTGTTGAAATGACTTCATACCTTTTATAAAGTGTTTGTGTTGTGTTTATTTATCAGGCGTGGGCTTTGCCACGCGTCAGGTTGGCAGTATGACCAAGCCCACAACCATAATTTCCTTGGAGGGCGACGTCATCACACTTAAGACCGTCAGCACTTTCAAAACCACAGAAATCAGTTTCAAACTGGGAGAAGAATTTGACGAGACCACTGCAGATGACCGTAAAGTCAAGGTAATAAAATCTCAATGTGCAGTGCACAGAGCACACATTAGTCCCACTTTCAGTAGTCACGTGCTTTGAGATTTCTAAAGGCACGTAGAATTTCATGACTGACACATTGTGAATTGGGTGAAAGACATGCAAGCTCATCTTGAATAACACAATAGGGTCTTGTTGGTGGGATACAAGGGTTTCTATGAAGCCCCTGTGGGAGATTGACCTATCCCATGACATTCATCGGGTCAGTCATTAATGTAAGCATAGAAACGCCACTCATCGCTGCTCCTGGGTAGCAAGAGTAAAAATGAGACAGTTTTCCAATTAAGAACGGTTTGTCTTTTGATCTTTACCCTGCTGCTTCTGTTTGTCCATCAGTCTGTGGTAACTGTAGATGGAGGCAAATTGGTTCATGTTCAGAAATGGGACGGTAAAGAGACGACCCTGGTCCGAGATGTCAGTGACAACAGCCTCACACTGGTCAGTATTGTTTACTTACAGCGAGTGCCTCTTTTGGCTGGGAACAGAATTATAAGAAAAGTCAGCAAAAGCAATTTAAAGTAATTACTTTTGCCAATATTTATGGGTGTTTGACTGAATGAATGTACATCAACAGGCCAACCTCTCTTTTATTAACAGACATTGACGCTTGGTGACGTTGTATCCACACGACACTATGTAAAGGGGGAATAAAGGGAAACCTCAGTCACAACCCATCCTCATCAATGGTTATGTACATTTCCAATGGATTTTCTGTGGTGTTCTTCTGTTTCATTTGCACCGTTCCTCAAACACTGAATAAAATTCCAACTTCATACCTCCAGATGTCTGTATTAGAGCTCATATACTGGGTGTGTGATATGCTTCTTCAGTCAGTGTTATGGCATATGCCTTTGGTCTACAATAAATGACATTTGCTCCAAATTGACCTTGTGCAATTTATTGTCAACATTTACATCATGCACTCCAGTGCCATGTGTGTTTTTGTTGTTTAACAGGACTTAGTGTAACACACTGTTATAATTCCGTGAGGTCTTTCTAATTTAAGCATGTTCCAGTGTCTGCTGGGTAACGCGCATGTGTTCTAATCAAGCAACTGGATCTTGTGTCTGTGTGTTTCTGGGTGAAAGGCCATTTGGAGGTTGTGCAGTGAACTTTTTAACCTTCACACATGAAGCCAGTAACATTTAATGGCCAAACAATATTAACAAAAAATACATTGCAAAATCATTTAGATAGATTTAATCTTGATGTACATGCAAAAAAAAAAACCTGTTCTTGCACAAGCTTGTACATGCATATCACAACTATTTCGCAAACCAAAATGATCACTTTGTCTTGTGTTTGTGTTTCTTGTGTTTTTTCTTCTTTTCTGAATGTGTGTGTGAATGCCTTGGCCGTTTGGTGTCTTCATCGCAGCTATCAGATGAAGAGTTGTCTCTTTTCTTCTCTTTCTTTTTCTTCTTTTCTTTCTTTGCCTTCTTTTCCTGCAGGAAAAATGCAAAGGGGCGTCATGAGCATGCAAATGGAAGGCAGATCAAAAAGTCTGCAACAAGGAACTATTGCAAAAGTTGGCAACAAGTAAAACAAGAGCAGGGTTACACAACCGCTTACAGGCATCATGTCATCTGGTGCAATAATTCTGCTGTCAAAGAGGTGTGTCTGTACCTTTTTACGTTTCTGGGGCTCTGACTGGGTTTGCTGACTGGCCGGCGGCGGCGGCTCCTCCTCTTCTTCTGGCACTAAACTGTACTGCAGTCCAGGCTGGGAGAAGCAATCCTTTGCAAAGTGACCTTACATACAAACAGACATACAAGTCATTATTTATGACTTAAACACTGCCATAACAGATGTTCAGGGATTAAAAGTACAATCTGCAAATAAAGACAATGAATGTGAGATCTAAAATTGACACTCAATGTATCTCAATTTCCACAAAAATATTAAGCAGCACAACTGTTTTCAACATTAATAGTATTAAGAAATATTTCTTGAGCACCAAATCAGCATATTAGAATGATTTCTGAAGGATTATGTGGCACTGAACGACCCTGGTCCGAGATGTCAGTGACAACAGCCTCACACTGGTCAGTATTGTTTACTTACAGCGAGTGCCTCTTTTGGCTGGGAACAGAATTATAAGAAAAGTCAGCAAAAGCAATTTAAAGTAATTACTTTTGCCAATATTTATGGGTGTTTGACTGAATGAATGTACATCAACAGGCCAACCTCTCTTTTATTAACAGACATTGACGCTTGGTGACGTTGTATCCACACGACACTATGTAAAGGGGGAATAAAGGGAAACCTCAGTCACAACCCATCCTCATCAATGGTTATGTACATTTCCAATGGATTTTCTGTGGTGTTCTTCTGTTTCATTTGCACCGTTCCTCAAACACTGAATAAAATTCCAACTTCATACCTCCAGATGTCTGTATTAGAGCTCATATACTGGGTGTGTGATATGCTTCTTCAGTCAGTGTTATGGCATATGCCTTTGGTCTACAATAAATGACATTTGCTCCAAATTGACCTTGTGCAATTTATTGTCAACATTTACATCATGCACTCCAGTGCCATGTGTGTTTTTGTTGTTTAACAGGACTTAGTGTAACACACTGTTATAATTCCGTGAGGTCTTTCTAATTTAAGCATGTTCCAGTGTCTGCTGGGTAACGCGCATGTGTTCTAATCAAGCAACTGGATCTTGTGTCTGTGTGTTTCTGGGTGAAAGGCCATTTGGAGGTTGTGCAGTGAACTTTTTAACCTTCACACATGAAGCCAGTAACATTTAATGGCCAAACAATATTAACAAAAAATACATTGCGAAATCATTTAGATAGATTTAATCTTGATGTACATGCAAAAAAAAAAACCTGTTCTTGCACAAGCTTGTACATGCATATCACAACTATTTCGCAAACCAAAATGATCACTTTGTCTTGTGTTTGTGTTTCTTGTGTTTTTTCTTCTTTTCTGAATGTGTGTGTGAATGCCTTGGCCGTTTGGTGTCTTCATCGCAGCTATCAGATGAAGAGTTGTCTCTTTTCTTCTCTTTCTTTTTCTTCTTTTCTTTCTTTGCCTTCTTTTCCTGCAGGAAAAATGCAAAGGGGCGTCATGAGCATGCAAATGGAAGGCAGATCAAAAAGTCTGCAACAAGGAACTATTGCAAAAGTTGGCAACAAGTAAAACAAGAGCAGGGTTACACAACCGCTTACAGGCATCATGTCATCTGGTGCAATAATTCTGCTGTCAAAGAGGTGTGTCTGTACCTTTTTACGTTTCTGGGGCTCTGACTGGGTTTGCTGACTGGCCGGCGGCGGCGGCTCCTCCTCTTCTTCTGGCACTAAACTGTACTGCAGTCCAGGCTGGGAGAAGCAATCCTTTGCAAAGTGACCTTACATACAAACAGACATACAAGTCATTATTTATGATTTAAACACTGCCATAACAGATGTTCAGGGATTAAAAGTACAATCTGCAAATAAAGACAATGAATGTGAGATCTAAAATTGACACTCAATGTATCTCAATTTCCACAAAAATATTAAGCAGCACAACTGTTTTCAACATTAATAGTATTAAGAAATATTTCTTGAGCACCAAATCAGCATATTAGAATGATTTCTGAAGGATTATGTGGCACTGAAGACTGGAGTAAAGCTGAAAATTCAGCTTTGTCAAAGGAATAAATTACATTTTAAAATTTATTAAAATAGAAGTTATTTAAATAATATTTCACAATTTTACCGTATTATTTTATCAAAGAAATGCAGCCTTGGTGAACATAAGACTTCTTTCAAAAACATTTTAAAAATCTGACCCCAAACTTTTAAATGGCAGTGTAACTACTGAAATGACAATCAGCATTTTTTTTTATATAATAAAGTCACAAAGACTAGCACTGTCCTTCGTATTTTCTAAGTTAGAGTTGTTTTTCAGTAGATTTTCTTTATTTTACCAAAACATGTACTTAAGTCAAGGTACTGAAGAAAAACATGACTTATGTTTTTAATTTGGCTGAATCTTGTTGAAATAGCATTAGGGTTGAGTTTAAGATAAAAATGTTAAACTAGGACAAAATAGGGTCAAAAGTCTAGCGTACACTGGAATTGGGTCAGATTGACATAACCTGGAGGTTCATACCTCTGCAGCCACACTTTTTGCATGTGGTGTTGAGCACAGCCTCCAGCGTGATCTTCTGCTCAGTATGATCTCTAAACTGTCTCCGGCGACGTTCGTCCTGTCTGTGTGAATATTTATGCATGCACAATTTGGTATGATTATGAATTACCATACTTAACCTCCTATAAGTACAAGGTTTGGTTTGCTCAAACAAAGCACTCATGTACCATAAAACCACTTACTCTGCCATAACATTGTTGGGGTCTAAGTCCCGCCCAGTGCCTTGATTGACAGATTTCATAGAGAAGGACAGTTTTACTTTATCATCTTTCATCTGATAGTGGATGGAAATCAAAAAGCATAATTAAAATACTGTATCCGAATTATAAGAACACTAAACCGATGTTTAATCAGTGCTGCATGTAAAATCACAGCATAAATTTAACTTTTAGTATATGCAATGAAAATATGTTGGTAACAGTATAAAATGACATTGATATTGTTGTATTTGCGTACATGCAAATTGAATGTACCTCTCTGCCAATTACTTTTATCCATACGTGCTCCCCTACATCAACAATTTCAGCTGGGTTATCCACCCGACAGGATGACATCTCACTCTTATGAACCAGACCTGCCAATGCAAACACAAATAAACAAAAATACGTGTGTGTTCATCTTCATTTAAATAAGAACACACATCTTGATGATAACTCTCCAACTTTACCTTGTTTTCTGTATCCTGGAATCTTAACAAAAGCACCATATGTTGTGACAGAAACTACCTAAGTAAATAAGAAAACACGAAGGTGAATAAATCAATAAGAGGACATTTCAATGTGATTTTATATTCTGCATATGGGGATTTAAATCTAACCTCTCCCTTCAGAATGCTGTACATAGGCGGCAGTCCATCCAGACCAGCTGGCTCTCTCATCCGCTCCTCTGCCATCACACCTACAGAGAGGTACACGTATGGTTTGCCATCTTTCTGTAACTAGTTCTTTAACTGGTCATGCTGAAGCATAAAACAAAATGAAATCTAAAGATGCCATCGTTAGTGTTTATGTAATGCATCTCATGCCAGATTAGAATATGCCAAGATCAATGAATTTACCTGATGGACTGCGAATCAGGTCTAGGAAAGTTTTTTTCTTCTTCTTAGGTCTAGGAGAGTTTAGCGTAATTTGAAAAGAATCTACAAGATGACTGTAAAGTGCACGTGTTAAATCGTCGCAGTTTTAATTACAAAAATCATTATTCAATAAAAAAATGGTCAAATGTAAATGCCGAGAGCCACGTTACTATTTAATACGCTACAAAACATCCCAACGCAAAACGTAAATACATTTCGAGCAGTACATTCCCCTTGTTTGGATGAAACATGATTTCCGTCAGTGGCAGTACATTGTCTTCCGGTTCAGAGATTTAACAGTAGCCAATAAGATCGCGTTGTGCGTGAGCCAGCCAATCAGAAGCCTTCGTGTTACCGGATGTGTTTCACTCGGCGAGGGAGGGTGTGTAGCTCGGTGGTGGTTGGTGGCTCGAAAAATTCATTAATTTGAAAAGAATCTGATCGTTTTTCATTTATTGTCGGGTTTTGAGTATTTTTCTCAACAATGATCGAGCCAAAGAAGCGCGGCGCAGAGATGGCAGTCGTTCCCGCCGAAGTGAAGAGGCCCCGGACAGAGCTAGTGGCTGCAGCGCAGTCCCAGCTCTCTGCTATGGTAAGACTGACAGGCTGAGCTGAATTCGAAGGAAAAGACTAGCTGGGGCTCAAGCGTTTGTATTTATGGGACTTTGGTTCATCCTACTGATTTGAATCTTTTGAATCAATTTACCTAGACGATTCGTTCAGTGAATCTTTCTACAGGTTACATGCACTTTCGTTCTAATTCAAATATCGAACATTGTACGTCTGTGCAAACAAAAATTAAAGAGAAAAACAACGGTAAGACTGACAGGCTGAGCTGAATTCGAAGGAAAAGACTAGCTGGGGCTCAAGCGTTTGTATTTATGGGACTTTGGTTCATCCTACTGATTTGAATCTTTTGAATCAATTTACCTAGACGATTCGTTCAGTGAATCTTTCTACAGGTTACATGCACTTTCGTTCTAATTTAAAATTCGTAACATTGTACGTCTGTGCAAACAAAAATTAAAGAGAAAAACAACTACAAAAATAAATAAATAATACAAAAATATAAATACAATCGGGAAAAATAATATCAAATACATTCTTTGTAAAGCTAACAAACTTTTAAAGTCTTAACAGCTTTCTTATTTAAAGAGTCTCTAATACTATGTACAGGCTTACTTAAGTCAACAAAATCATAAAGTTATTTTTTATAAGTGAACTTGCATTTATGAATGTTACATTTGGTAAAATATAAGTAAATTAACTAAACTTCTAACACTCTACTATAAGTTCAAGCTTTATGCCCACAATTAACAACAGCAAAAAAGAGACTACAATGAATGAAAAAAATATTGTGCATAGAAGCGAACGAAAAGGATTTGTTCAAAACAGATTTTAGATTCCAAAACACATTGCCATCTGCAGTCAAAGTTTAGTGGGTGCATGATTGGGGGGAAGTTTCATCATCATTTATTTATAACAGCACCTGCATAAACAAACATGAATCTGTATGTGTGTGTGTGTCTATTTGTGTTCATGTCAGGGCCCTCCACGCAGCTCCAGTCTGCAGGCTCCTATAATGCTGCTCTCTGGTCATGAAGGTGAAGTATACTGCTGCAAATTTCACCCTAATGGAGCCACGTTAGCCTCCTCTGGATATGACCGCCTCATCTGTGAGTCACATGACATTTGTTATTTTATTATTATATATTATTTTTTATGTGTAGGTAGTATTGATGTAATGATTCACATGTGTGTTTGAATTGCTTTTGGTGATTGTGTCTAATGCCCATGTTCTTGTAGTGCTGTGGAATGTATATGGAGACTGTGAAAACTATGCAACACTTAAAGGTCACAGTGGAGCTGTGATGGAGCTTCATTATAACACTGATGGCAGGTGCGTTTGTGTAAAAGACAAAAAAAAAAATTCTGCATCATTTACACTGTCATTTTAAAATTTTATACTGTAGGTTATATATTCTTCTTCTATAAATGCATCAATCTATCACATACTAATATGTTTGTGTCCTCCAGTCTGCTCTTTTCAGCCAGTACGGACAAGACGGTGTGTGTGTGGGACAGTGAGACAGGGGAGCGTGTGAAGCGTCTGAAAGGACACACGTCCTTTGTGAACTCATGTTTTCCGGCTCGGCGCGGCCCACAGCTGGCCTGTACGGGCAGTGATGATGGAACTGTAAAGGTAAATTCAGTTCACCAAGTCTAGACTTGAAACTCTCTGACTTAATGAAAAAAAAAGCTCTATTACAATTTTTACATTTTTGATTAGGCCAAGGATATAGTGGCAGTGCAGCTGCAGCATTAAATGTTGTGTTAAAACATAACGGCTATAAAATTAAAGGGATAGTTCACCCAAAAAATGAACATTTTGTCATTAATTACTCATGCTCGTGTCATTCCAATCCCATTTTTCCTAACACAAATGAAGAGATTTTAAATGTTCTAGCATCATTTTTGTCTATCCAGTAGACCTTAATCAAGTTAGATGGCATACTGAATATAACATGAGCGATAGACTTACAGTCTTTACAATGGCACGCACTGTATAAAGCTTTTAGATAGTATAAGTTTCACAACTCACAACCCTTTTTAGTGGTGTTTTTGTCTACTGAATATTTTTCCGGAAAACGTTTTGTCAGTTGAACAGTATGTTGTAAACAACAGTACAATCCGTTGAACACACTGTACTTTTATCAGTCACAGCCTTTTTTTCATTCCTGTCAAAAATTAAATATGGCGCTACCTTGATTAAGGTCTGTAAAAGTCTTTGCAACCAAAATTTTCATGCTTCAAAAATTACAAATGCACAGTAAATGTAACCCATATGAATCAAGTGGTTTAATCCAAGTCTTCAGAACAGAAATGATTGCTTTATATGGCACAACTGATTTATTATAGGCTTTTATTCACATAAACATTGACCAGTGCACATACATGGAGCACATCAAATGCGTCATGGAGCTGTCTGAGGTTTTGTAAGAGGTTGAGTATGTTGATGGCAGTTCAGCAATTTTCTGTATCCTTCCTCTATCCTTCCTCAGATCCAGATATTAGCTTAGATCTTTTAACCATTATGCCACCACCACCATTCAATTGCTACAGCTCAGTTTACAGAGAAAATGCACGCCCTTATTGTTTGAAGAGAAACTGAAAATTGTTTGTGTGACGCTCATGAATTGTATCAAACTGATGTGCTCAAGGGGACATTGGTTCGAATGCGAACTGGTTTGTGAGCCCAACCCATTCCCATTTCTGTCAAAAATCTCTACTGTCCTGTCTTGTATGAAAAGGCATATAGCCAGTAAATAAAATACATTTTGATGTCTGGATTATGATAATGTTTGATAGTTGTTACAGTGAGTCTTTTTCATTTTATTGTTGATTGAAATGTCTAGATAAAACATGATAGAATTTGAACTGTCCTCAGTACTACTTTGTTCATGTGTTATTGTAGCTGTGGGACATCAGGAAGAAGGCCTCTGTTCACACTTTCCAGAACACATATCAGGTTCTTAGTGTAACATTCAATGATACCAGTGACCAGATCATCTCAGGAGGCATCGACAATGACATAAAGGTTTGTGTGCTACAAATACTCTGCAACGGATGTCTGGGCTCTTGTGCCTGAATATGTTTTTGTACATATATTTAATGCTGTGTGTATGTGTTTTGTGTTGTAGGTATGGGACCTCAGACAGAACAAACTGATTTACAGTATGCAGGGTCATGGAGACTCTGTGACAGGTCTGAGTCTCAGTGCAGACGGGTCCTACCTTCTGTCTAACTCAATGGATAACAGCGGTAAGCCTAAATGCATGTGTGCAAAGGTTTGGGGTCAGTATGATTTTTTTTTTATGTGTTTGAAAACAGTACTATAAAAAACTTTTTTATATTTTAATATATTTAAAAATGTTATTTATTTCTGTGATGGCAAATCAGAATTTTTAGCATCATTACTCCAGTGTCACATGGTTCTTCAGAAATCATTCTGATTTGCTGATTTGGTGCTTAAGAAACATTTCTTATACATTTTTAAAACCGTTACTTATATGCTGAATACAGTATTAATTTCTAAATAAATGTATATATTTTACTGACACCAAACTTTTAAATGGTAGTGTATTATGTACCTGTTATAATGTGTGCATGACTGACTGTGTACGTCTACTACATATGCTGATGTTTTATGTGTGTCTGGAACAGTGCGTGTCTGGGATATCCGTCCATTTGCACCAAAGGAGAGGTGTGTGAAGATCTTTCAGGGAAATGTCCATAACTTTGAGAAGGTAAGCACAATTCTCTCTGTATTTACAAAAAAAAAAAGATTATATTTTATGGTTTATTTGTTTATTAAAGAATAATTTCCACTGTGTTTGCTATCAAATGTTTTTTTTTCTTTTCGGTTAGACTTTTAATCAGGGGTGAATTATCAGTTCATTCTTATAATGAACATTACTGATGCTGAGCTGGAAGTTCATACTGCCGGGCCAAAGGTTTTTGTAATGAAAGTTTATTTTTTGTGTGTGTGTGTGTGTGTTTTAGAATCTTCTCAGATGCTCTTGGTCTTCTGATGGGAGTAAGATTGCAGCTGGTTCTGCTGACAGGTATGGGTGTTTTTGTGTGGGTTATGCAGTGTTTGCACAGTCTGATTATGTTTGAGGTTAATGTGATGTATTTGTGCTGTAGGTTTGTGTATATTTGGGACACAACATCCCGTAGGATCCTTTATAAGCTCCCTGGTCATGCTGGGTCTGTGAATGAGGTTGTTTTCCATCCAGAAGAACCAATTGGTAAAATATATATATATATATATATATATATTTTTTTTTAAAATTAAAATATTATACATATCTGGAATTGAAAAAGGAGCACATTCCTCCCATACTGTTTACCCATTTCTGCTCCATGTGTGACTCCATTATTTTATGTCTCCCACAGTTCTCTCTGGATCCAGTAAAAAAAAAAAAAAAAAAAAAATATATATATATATATATGCACGTATGTAACACTTATATACAGTTATATAATATATAATTAGTATATGCAATATAACAAGATAAACAAAAACATTTGACAATATCTTTTTTTTTTTTTACAAAGGAGTTCTCATGATCAGTGTAATAAACTAGCTTAGTGGCCTAAAATATTTCTTCTTCATTTTGACACTTATCTTTTTATTTCATTTTAATGGTTCAAATAAAAATCCACAAGACTTTTTAGAATTTGAAACTCAGCTTTTCAATGTAGATTGGGCTTCACATACAGTATATACTTTTAGATAACGTTTGAACTGTTCATCACATTGATTTAAATACGGTTTTAAATAAGATTTTAAAAAAATCTTGTACCATTTTGATATAAAATATAAAGAGAAAGAAAATATATTATAGTCATTGTTATTAACAACATCAATTGCATTAAACATTATATTCCGTAAAAAAGCTTGGGGTTCATGAAGGGACTTCAGGGGGGTTCGTGAAGTAATAAAAAGCTAATACGTAATGAAATCCTAAAAATATTAAATTAAAATAAATATTTTTAAAATCACAACAATCAAAATAAACGTAATAAATTATACCTGTTTACCTGCATGCCATGTCACCATGTGAATAATATATAATCATGTAATCAATAAAAAAGTAACTAGTCTGATTACGAATGTAGTATGTTTGTAGGTATTTATCTTGTCATCATGATGTAATATTAGTTTCAAAAGAGTCATTTTTGCAGGTTGTAAAAAGAGTGTCCATAGCTGCATGATGATTTTCTTTGTGCTCTATAAAACACCTCGTGTTGTGTCGAGCGGGCGGTGAGCGTCCACCCACAAACCCCGCTCCGCTCACCCTCCCGGTGCGGATGTTGACAAAGAGCCGGAGTAGGAGGATGGTTGCTCAAGCTACAGCGCCAGTCTGAGACCCCTGACGGCACATCAGCTCGGAAAAACGAATACCGGACCTCACTGTAAGTCACAAAGGCTCGCTTTGTGCTCGTTCCAGATTTCATTTGCGTTATTTTCTTAAATCGCGCCCTTACACCCCCCGCTCGCGCTCCGTCTGATGCTTATCATATGATGCTCATTTCTGCCAGTTAAACGCGCTCTCTGACTCTTCCTCTGTTCTTTGTGTTATTTTGGGTTTGTCTGCGCTTGGTACCCGGTACGGAATGAAGGTGTGGATTCGGAACCGCAACGGGGCTGTAGGACGCTTCGGTTAGGACAGTTCAGCGGAGGAGATCCGGAATGACCAGCAGCCATCCGAAAGCATCGACGCACCGAAGCATGCACGCGGCCCGGTGGGCTTCTTGATGCTTTGAACAGTAACCGTGAAGCAAAACGCTGGACCTCACCGGGGACTCCGCTTTCTCCCGACGCCTCGCGGGGCCCAAGCCGTGCCTCAAGCGCGAGAGCATGGGTCGGTGCGACGGGAGGTGCACGCTGGTGGTCATCTGCTGCCTGCAGCTGGTAAGACAGTTTTGTTCATTTTCAGTTCAAATCTAGTCTTTCCTG